GGTATTAGTGAATTATTTCTAGAAATTTGAAAGCTGGTATCAATGATAACATTTTGATTGTTTCAAATGTTTAACCATTTAAAATTTATCTCTTATGCTTAAGTGGCTACCAAATCACTACATTTAGCACATTTCACAGAAAATAAGTATTTCAGTTCTTCTTGATTTTTCTCAAAACTACATTTTTGCAAACTATGTAGCCCTGTATAAAAGCTAACAATGAAAAGTATGATCCTACCCATACTGCCCTATTTAATGGAATGTATCAAAGAAGAAATGACATATCTTTATTATTGTCAATGCTGGAGGGAGACATTTCTTACATTTTACAATTTAAATTTACAGTTTAATTCACTGAATATTACTGGGAAGTTTAATCCATTTACCATTCTGCTACTTGAATGTCCTTTTAAATAACCAAAACAGATCTTCTGTCTAAACTTCTTCAGTGGGTGGTTTTATTTTGTTTTTTTGTTTTGTTTTGTTTCACAATAAAGGTTTGTCTTTAGGATGACATGTGACCTTCCTGCCAGGGCACCAAGGATAGAGAAGACCAGGAGTTTGCTCTTCACTCTGGACTTGCCTGTGCCCTTTCCCGTCTTGCACATCAGCCTATAAATATTTCCCTCACCTTACTTGCCAGGAACTCTTAGGATTGTTACCCACTCTTAATATATTTTCTCTTTGACTGTGGGCTCCGTGAGGGTAGGGAATGCACTTCTATCTCTGTCACTCATGTTTAACGTAGGGAATGCACTTCTATCTCTCACTCATGTGTAATGTCGGAAGTGGTAGGGAGTTTTAAACAGATATGTAAATACAACTAATTATTTCCCCACCCAGTGTTGAAAAAGCCCAATTTGAGATCATCTCATAGGTATAAGCTCTATCTCTATGAAGCTCTCCAGATGTTTAAATAATGAAGATATTAATTGTTCATTGCTCGCTTGTTTAAAGACTGGTTGACTGTAGGGGCGCCTGGGTGGCTTAGTCGGTTAAGCGTCCGACTTTCGCTTAGGTCATGATCTCGCGGTTCGTGGGTTCGAGCCCCGCGTCGGGCCCTGTGCTGACTGCCAGCTCGGAGCCTGGAGCCTGTTTCAGTCTGTGACTCCCTCTCTCTCTGACCCTCCCCTGCTCACGCTGTCTCTCTCTCTCTCCTAGAAATAAATAAAACATTAAAAAATTTAAAAAAAAAGACTGGTTGACTATAAGGCTTAGAAAATGACTGATGAAGTATATAGCCATTATTTACTGAGATGAGGCCCAAGGAATCCTGGTAAGCTGAGAAGAGACAGATTTTGAATACATTGCAGCCTGACATGGGCTCCGGTGCAAAAGCAGTACTAATATTCAAGGGTAAAGCACAGTATCTTTACAAACCTTTATGACCTTGTATTGTATTAGACTCATTTCTGCCCCATATTGACACCCACAGGACTCAATTCAGTGTTTGGAAAATGTGTAGCTTTAAAGAAACTCTTTGGAGTATTGGTTTCAGGCCAGACTTTGCTAAATCAAAGAGTGCCAGTTTCCTTCATGCCAAACAGCACAATAAACCCCTCTGCAAAAGGAATAAAGACTGCTGAGAAATAACTGATGAAGCTTTTAATGTCAATAAATGTCATTTTGTGCGTCAGTATTGTGAGAGTTTCCTTTTCACAAATGGAAGAGGGATTTTTATAAACTCTCCTGTGAAAGGATAGGGATTTAGAGTTGGCATTAGCAGACCCTGTAATAAAACAAATCCCTCCTTCAAGTCCCCCTTGAAGTGAAGAATGGCACTTGAACTTTTCATTTGGTAATATGTGGATTATAGATATCCTCCTCTTACCACTAAGGTGTGTGTCATCTTCTTTGCTATCTTCGTAAATATCCTACTGGGAGCTAGGGGAAGTGGTAAGAATTGAGAAATAGCCTTTTGGCTTTATTAGACTTTGCTTGATTAAAGATTTGGAAGGTGCTGTGAAAATACATTTAGTTTTCTGACACTCTTGTAAATGAAGCTCAACAAGTATGCACCAGAGTACTGATCAGATACTTGGGAGGAAGCTTTTACACAGCTGACAGGTACTGCTAATGAATCCTGCATTGGCGCAATATTTAATACAGCAGGTAAGAATCAGCCAATAGGATGAGGTCAGAGATGTCATTTATTTGACATATTATGTTCATTAGAGTTTGTGACATATTCTAGCTTAAAGTATTATGCTATTCAATGTATATGTATTAATAAAACTCATTAGACCATCTCTTACAGGATATAAATGTTAAATAGTATTTGTGAAAAAAATGTGCCTGTAATTTCATTAATTGTTTGGCTAAGTCTTCTTCATTTATTTTTTTAACTGTAAAATTTCTGCACTGGAAACAGCTTTAGTTAGCTTCCTAGGTGGCTGCCAAAACCAAATAATCACATTAAACTTAAAGTGAATTATTTTATATATCCAAATAATATAAAGAACACAAAGTTGAGTTTATTAGTAAAACTATCACTAAAAGAATAACTATAATCATACTAGGTTTATAAATAATTGGAAAGAATAATAAATAGTAACATATATTTAAGGAACAGTTTATACATTTGTATATACGTTAACTTAAAAGTTTGATCTTCTGGGTTTCCAGGGACTAAAGTTATACATAGCAACAAACAATCTTATGAAAATAATTTCCCCAATTAATTTACATAATTTAATTAATGTGCATAATTTACATAATTATTTTCATGTACATGAAAGTTAAGACTTAAAAATTACAACATAGATAATTTGTTAGCCAAAATCATTCATATATTAAAATATATGGTATTAAAAATAAGAAATACATTAGTTAACTCCTGACTTTCTTCAAAGCTTTAAGTCTTAGATCTTGAAGAAAACCCTGTTCCCCAAAGTCCAGGATCTACATCATACTAGAGAATCATATGTATCTTTTCCTCACTGAGAAAAAATATATTTACATACTTTTACCTAAAAGACATAAGCCCAGAAATTCAAGGAGGGATTACAATAGTGATTAATTAACAAATTACTCGTAGCCTTTTTACTCTACATTAATTAAATTTCAAATGTAAGAGTTTAACTTTAGAAATATGTATATTTTAGTGTTTGCTAATATTTTCTTATTTGGGTATGGTTAACACATTTTCCATTATACCTATTTAAATTACATAAAATAAATTAAGGGAGTTTTCCATTTATGTAAAATATCTCTATTTTCTATATCTTTCATGGTCCAATTTTGAGGCATGAGTTTCATTACAAAAGATTTGCTTGTTAAATTTTACTATCAGTAGCTAATTTATAAATCAGCATTTCCTTTAAGTAATTATAAAGATGCAATCAATGTGATTAATTTTGAATACTTTAAAAATATTTATACCACCAGTTGCATTCTTCCTACCAAGAAGGTGATAGAAACCTTGTCCTGATTTTTAGCTCTATAGGCATGGCTACCAGATCTTTTTGAGTGAATTTGTCTGAAGTAAATTCGAGTTTAATGAGGATGAAGTATCCTGTAGTAGTTTTTATGGTTTCCTTTTGATGCAATTTTTAGACAATAAAGGGAAGTTGGAGATTTGTGATCGGGGCCCAGAATGGTTCACAATGCCATGTGGCTGGCTATAAACATGCACATGACTACTCTCTTGAGACACTGCTGTAGGCCTTAAAATACATTTTTGTACATACTTTAAATCATTGTAAACAACAATCATTTAAAAATATCAGCTCTCATTTCATACAGGATGAAATTTAGACTCACACAAAGTCCAACAGTATCAAAGTTCCACAAAGTCTAGATGTTAAATCTCTCAATCTCCAAGGCCTTTGCTTCTTAAACTATAATACCATAACGTAGCTTCCTAGAGAAACTAAATTAATATTTAAAAAATATAATGTTATGACAATAGAGCATTATCAGAGTTTTGCTTATTAACAAACATCTCAAAAATAAAAGAAACATGTAAGTGTTTTTCTCAATATATACCAGCTAGAACCCCATGGGAGGCTAAAATCTTGTTCTAATAATGGCTTATGCACTCAAAACATTTTAGGAATTCTTATTTTGGAATTGCCTTAAAAGCCTACAGCATTTTCTTTTAAGCTCAGTGCTTTCAAATCTTGATTTCTAAAGGGTAAATTTGATTTTTTTGACATAGTCAGAAGACTTATAGAGGTCAGATTTGTGAATGAAGTGATAGATTAGACTTGTTAATTTTTTGACTTTTAAATTTTGGAACAGATTTTAAGTGAGAGGCTGTGTCTAAAAGTAACTCTAAGAGAAATATTTAAAAATAGTTTTCTTAATAGCACCAATAGAAAGTCTGCTATTTATGTCTATGTTAAAGGATAGCTTCATTTGGACTCTTTAAGACTGGAAGAATCAACCAGAGTTCATCCATAGTGTGTGTGTGTGTGTGTGTGTGTGTGTGTGTGTGTGCGCGCATGTGCATGTATACTGATATATATTATATATATGAAACAGGTTTTTTAGTATATAAGAGATGTGTAGACTATGTCTAATGCATGCTTTATATCAAAATGTGTGTAACATATGCAGAGAGATAGACATGCTAACATGTTGTGTATTCCAATTTTATGAAATACAAATGTGGCAATATCAATCGAAATCATATAGATTGCCTGTGTAACTTAGATGTTACCTAACTTCTCCCAAAGGAATGACTTATGTTCCTTCGTGAATGAATATGAAGTGACATTTGAGAGGGTCCAATTGCCTACCTCCTTCTGAGGAGATCTAGCCTGGCTGTAGTTCACATCACCAACCCAGTCACCATTGTTTGAGAATGAATCAGACTAAGCTGTTCCTTTATACCTTTAAATACAAATCTTGCAGCCTGTTAGCTCACCTATCCCCACTTCCCTTCCCAAGCCAGACCATCCCCTACCTCCGCTCAAAAAAACAAGTTTGAGGTAGGTGGGTGAGAATAATTTAAAAATAAATTTACCTATGGAAATTACTTTTTTTTCCCAAGTTCACATCAGATGGGTAATGTGCTGAGGTCATAACAAGGTTTGAAGGAGGCATATGTCACATAACAGTGTGAACACCCAGTATGCACGTTTATGAACTGTAAAAGAATCCTGCAAACTACTCTTAGTACTTTCCTATCCCTTCCCTCCTCCCTTCCTCCTTTCACCCTTGAGTCCCGTTGCCCTCAAAGCAAAAGTAAAGAAGAAATATGTGGGTGGTGGGACAGTGAGTTCTTATAAGTGGAAGGCTAAACTGGAAATAGCTTACAAAGGACCAAAACCCATCTCAAATTATCAGTTTAAATTTATAATTATGTCAAAAAATCATTAAATAAGCTTGGTTATTACTATCAAGATTTCTTTTCTGGTTTACAAGGTGAGAGGTTAATGACTCATTTACTAAGGTATCCAGTTTTCTTTCATTTTTCACTTACAATTATCTTCACTTATTTTAAAATGCAGTGAAGTCTCCAAAAAGTATTGTAGTTCTTCATTATTTCTGTCAATTAAAATTTCTAAATCATAGCTTTAAAATGAATCACAAATAAGCATTAATAGATTTCAATTGCTGAATGCCCACTTCCTGGAAGAAATGAATGGGGCAGATTTACTTTTGAAAATCTGCTTTCCCTAGCAGCTGGAGCATAGGGGCACAGCAGATATCAGTCTCTAAAAAGCTGGTATTCACTTTGGAAATGGACTCTGGTTGTTGGTGTTGTCTTTCCCCATGGAATGATATGTTTGTTGACAGAGCAGTGCCAATGCTAATATATTTTTGACTGAAGTAATGGTAAGTTTACAGAACATTTGTGTTCTGTAAGCCCTTAGTGAGATACCTAGGTTGCTTGATATCTTAAGGCAAAGTGATGATCTAAACGGACATTCAACGTCCTTCAAGGTTTTTATAGATAGATCCAATTTTAGATAGGTAATATAAAACCAAGTGTCCTTAAATTTAGTCTAAAAATTTACAATGCTCTCTACAGGAGACATGTTTACAAATGTAGAAAATCTCAGTTGTACTCACTGATGTAACATTGTACACATTTGCATTGTTTATGAAATTAAAGTCCACTTTTTTTTTTTTTTTTTTTTTTTTTAGTAGACTGCATTAGTTCTCTTGTTCACTAGGCTCCATGATAACTGACATCTCTCTAACACTTAGAATCCGGGTGACTATCTCGGGAGTGGTGGTATGACGACATTGTTGCCATAGAAACTTTGCAATCATTGATGCACTTTTACTATTGGTACTTAAATACTTAAAATTTAGAATTTTAAACCATTTAGAAACAGAACAAATTCTGTGGGGATAGTGTATTATTCTTTTATCTGAAATGAACCACTTGGGGAACTAATTATGTTGAAAATTGAGGAAAGGTGCTTATTAACACAATGGTACCATTTAAGATCTAAGGCTGAGAGAAGAATTTGGTCTAGCAAATGCAATTTACCAATAGAAATTTAGTGTCAGGAAATCCTAATGAATTCCAGTTTGATTTTGGATTGTTAATACTTAAAATAGCATGCAAAATGTTTTATACACATTGAATAAATAAGCTTGCTAAGGAACTCTAGAAATGATAGATTGCCTGTCTTTAAACTATCAATTACTTATTAAATTTCTATTTGAAATTTAAGCAGAAACTATTTTATCCTCCAAATTATGTTACTATCATAATATCTGCCTATAATTTGAAACATCGGCTTTAGAATAAAATGAGTTTTATTGCCTTATTGAACTATACTGCCTTATAGTCATCATTCTAAAATGCTGTTGCCAGTTAGATTATAAACCCTTTGAAGTAAAGCCCACTGAGATGGTGGCCATCAAAGGGAAAATGTAGATTAAAATATCTCAGCTAGATAAAGGAACTCTCTTTAATCTAGTTTTGCACACACATCACTGTTGAATAATGAGTTTTCCACCATTGTGGATTATGGCATATGACAGAGGATTACAGTAACTGTACATTATGTATTGTGTATCATCTTGTGTTATTCTCATTTTATTCTGTATGAATAATATTTCCAAGCAGAAATGTACTGAGTTATTGCCTGAGAGCTAGTTGCCTGCTCATTTATTAAAGAATCATCCATAATGGTAAGAGTCAACACTATATTTAGAGGAGAAAAGTGAATTCTAATTAAGATCTACTTGAATTAACAAAAGTGAATTCCAACTTTTCAAATTATGTGTCTTTTGAAAATGATCAGTTTTACTGCTTGGAGTACATTTCTATTTTGTTTTCTCATTTAGCCATGAGTTAGTCTATTTAGATTGCTGAGAATACTATGAGGCCCCAAGTAAACTAAGGTTGACTTCACTTCAAGGTTGATGCTATAATTTATTTCAATATGTTATTCATTTATTTAGTCTAGCTTTACTTCAACAAATGATAATAATATAAAGAGCAACTTTTTTATTTCTTTCACTAACTTTGTCCCTGTTAAATACAATTTAGCCTTTTTAACTATACAATTCAGATTTTGTTTGTTCTGTATTTAATCTTACAATGGGATCTTACAAACTGAAAATGAATACACATTTGAGTGTTTTTATGATGAGAGTAAAATATGTTCTCCAAGCTGAGAAGAAATTAAAGAACCATTTTAAGAGTCCTCAAATGAGCCAATTTCCTATAATATCTACTTCTAAGTAATTCTTAACCCTATGAAATAGTCTTGATAATTCAAATATTCTTTTAAAATTCATCAATGCACTTTGAACTATTGGAAACATTTTTCTAGATGTTTACAAATGCAATTATTTTATTACAGAGCATCGGAGAAGATTTAAGAGTCAGTGATGACTAAATGTATGTGGCACTCTTGATGATGTCCTTGAAGCTACTGAAAATATTTATTTAAAGCACATTTTCTAGATCTGACTCCAGGCAAATTTCTTTCTCTCTTTCCCTTTGTCAGGTTAGAGTTAATGTGGTGGGGTAGAAGAATATGGCCAGAAAGAGAGTATCTATGTACTCTTGATTTGCTGATAATCTTAGAGCGCTGTGCGAGACAACAAGATTTTTTATAGTTTGTACTTGTTCTTGCAGAACAGTAAAATGTAGGGAGCTTAGGCAAGGAAAAATATTAGACTTTGATGCTCCATTTTCAGGGACTTGTAAAAAGAAAAAGTGACACCATGTGATTTATTCTCATGACAAGATTGTAAAGAGAACAAGAAGTACAAAAACTCAATCTGTTGCTGTTACATTATTTACATTTGTACATGATGTCTTCTTTATCCTGAATGCCACATTTGAGTGCTTCAAAATGGTAATATAGAATCTTCATAAAGATTTACAGAGCCAACTTCAAATAACTTCTTAATTTAATGGTAATTATATGGTTTAAAATGTACTTTCTTATTGTAGCATATCTTTTTAATAGATAGCTCTTGTATGCTGACATTATATCATTTTGATATCCTTCAAAATACATACTAGCTTACTTAAGTTTTGAAATTTGGAGATCTATTTAGCTCTACATTCACTAACTTTAAAATTGAAAAGTACCAGATATGATTTTCCAAATAATTTTTTAAAATATTTTTTTAACGTTTTATTTCTGAGAGAGAGAGAGAGACAGACAGCATGAGGAGGGGAGGGTCAGAGAGAGAGGGAGATACAGAATCTGAATCAGGCTCCCGCTGAGCTAGCTGTCAGCACAGAGCCCAACGTGGGGCTCGAACCCACGAACTGTGAGATCATGACCTGAGCCGAAGTCGGACACTTAACCAACTGAGCCACCCAGGCGCCCCCCAAATAATTTTTCAAATCAGCAGTCTGTCTTTAAAATGTTAATTGTGGATCCCCAAGTCCAAATATTGTGTGAAATTAAACTATTTCTTTCCTTTTTTACACGTGGTCCATTGCAGAGTAAAATGTGATACTATCTTTATAAATGCAAATGAACTCAAATGCTTTGCTCATGTTTGCAATGGGTCAAAAGCATTTAACTGAAACATGTTGCAGTGGGTCAAAAGCATTCGATTGAAACATCATGAAGCCACATCATTTTAGGGAGAATGAAGAACTTCAAAAATAAGTTAAGTTTGTTTTTTTTTTTTTTCAAAGAGATACGTTTGTAGGGTTTCCTATAAAATAGATCCTCTTTGACACTATGAATAAGAGATCATCCCTTCCCTCACAGTGTTCCATTCTAGTAGAACTGCTAGCATGAGAAGTTCCAGCTTTGTACTAGGCAAAATAGATGCAACAAGATTTTTGGGAAAACAGGTTTTTTTAGTGATAATCACAGCAAACTATGGAGTAAGATAGTCTAATGGTCTGTAAACATTGCACATAAGACATTATAATAATCAATAATTGTATTGTCACTCCACCAGGTTTTTTCTTAAGAGTTTATATCTACTGTCTTGTGTGATTTCACTTTGTGAAATAGTAAATAGAGCTGATGCATTTAAGAGTAAACAAGTTAATACAAACAATTTAGTTTCATAATCAGGAATCAGGGCCTGAATTCTATGGTCAGGGACTTTCTCTTCCATCACAGTATGAGGCTGTTGGTTCATTTATTAGAACAAAAGGATTATATCATTGAGGTAATTGGTCACAGACATAATTAATATCACAAAAGATTAGAATTGGTACAAAAGGACCTTTATAGAGTACACATTATTTTGGGATCATGTGATAATGGAAATGATTTCTTTGCCTTGCTTGCCAAATTATTCCTCAGGATATTCCATGTTCCTTATGCTTTACTTAAGACTCCTAAGTGAGAATATTTTGTGGGTAAACACTCTCTGATATCTTTTCCTAGTGTGATACAGAACAAGGTTATGTTCTTTGATTAGTCCATTGCTATCCCATAACTGGTAAATTTCTCCCTTAGTATCTTTTGCATAGAATATAATTGACAATGTCCCTTCCCTCTCATACTGGACAATGTGGCTAGAATTCAATAAAATCAGTCTATAGAGTTCTGTCAACTTTTACAGAAGGGAATGTGAGTATAATACTAGTGTTATTTATTTGGATTTATAAGAAATAAGTCTAGCACAGAAAGGATAGTTAAGTAGACTAAGATCTGGCATTTATACTGAATTCCAGTTAATGCTACCTCAGTTTTCACAATTGTC